TATAGAACCTATCATTATTGACTCCTTCCGACTACCAAGGTAGTTTTCGTCGTTTTATGAATCAATAGTCAATAAAGACATATTTAACCTCTGTAAAAACTTCACAAACGATAAGATTTCCTAACACAGTAGCTTCGTAAGGTGAAACTAATGTTGGCTTGCTTGACTTTTATATATCCTACTCTCCCAACCTGAAGGATTAGTTACCTATGGACAGGTACGATAAACTTCCATTTTCGGAAATTAGGCACAATATCTACATTAAAATCATTTCGTGCTCGTTAAACAATATACTATTGTCGTTGTTAGCAATAGAAACACTCCAACATTCATTCCACAATATTGGTGCATTCCGCAGGGATTTAATGAATTGACTCGATAAACAATTCATCTCAACTTATACGTTATTGATAGTGATCCATATTGGAGTTGTCAAACTTACTCGAAATGGCACTTAGTGCCTATATATTAGATCGTAACTTCCCGAAGTGTTTCACGAGATCACATTGACCGCATGCCACTAGGGAAATTCGGAAAACGCTTTTACATTTTCTTATCACACACATCTACGTGCTACCTGACTCGGACTTCTTGAAAACTTTTCCGTACAGATAATTCGACCGATGTCATTGAATTGACAGTCAGATTCGAGTTACAGTGGGGTACATCCAGGGGGAAATGACGTCTGGGAGTCGTCTAAATGATGAATTCATATATAGGACGTCATTTTGCCATCACGCAAAGGACCTATGAAGAACTCCAAAGAAATAGATACCTTGAATCTACACTCACCGGCAAATTCTTGTCCGATTCTCGTGAAATTCCAACCAAATCGTAGATTAATATTTCAGAGTGTTAGCCTGAGTCTCAATTCTTGGAAAAAGCTGATGTCTTTTTTATTATACAAGGAAAATCAAAAGTTACTCTTCCACCGCCACCTCCCTAACGTTCTTTGGCAAAGGTGAGTCCCTTCCTAACACAATGGTTTTCGATTGACGTCATTATCTTCTTTTTGAGAGAAGATACAGATGTTTTCAGATAATATGACATTTTCATTATTTGCATCAACCACAATTCAGAACTATTCTCAAACCTTCAGTTTTATCATGTTTTTTTGAATTGACGTATGATCCCTATTCTCTCCTTCTCAACCACAATGGTTCTTCACAATTTACCTCAAAATTTTTTTTTTTTGAAGAGCTACGATTCTCCATTCGGGGAGAATTTGAGGAATTGCTTGAGAAAGATCAACCCGATGGCAGGGCGGTTGAATGCTCGAAGAGCAATTGACGTTTCTATTCACAGCTAATCGATATGTTTATATAGGATCTGCAAGATTTAAGATATCCACAATTTTCAAAACAGTTGTTTCTTCTCTTTGAAAAAAGATATTGACGTGAATCAGAAACCATTGTGTTAAAAAGGGATGTAACTTCAATTCAAAACAGGATGAAGCTGAGTCAGTTCACTCACTTTTGTCACAGGGCTTCAAGAAGTTATCAGTCGAATAATAACTAACTAACTAACCTGACCAAGGCATCTGCCTTTTTTCAAACATCAATTCGATCAACGTTTCGAGACATGAATCTACGATTTTAACGGAATTTAACCAAAATTGGGCAAGAAATGAAAAAGTTACATAGCGATCAATTTCGCAAATTTTTCGATAATCACACGATACAGTACAAAATGACATCCATACTTGTGATTCATTGTTAGTTATGGCGTTAACATCAGCAGGCAAACCTTTATGAGTATGTATAGCTTGTCGTATTTGTATCTTAAATCCTGTAGTGAGTGTCACCGAGATGTGAGCAGAAATATTCTAGTTTGACCTGTTTTATCCATCGAAAATTGGCTCATAAAGCTGTTGAAATACGAGAATATCCCAAAATGCCACAATAATATTATTACGTATATCGGGAACTATGTTGCCATCCTCAGTGGGAATGAAAAGTATAGTGAAGACATAGTATCTTTCGGAATATATTTTCCAGAAATTTCCCGCGACAGTCACTCTCGCTCTTGATCAAATATGTAACAATTCGTATCGCCCTAGGAATTTCAACTGATCCACCCTCCACTTATTAACACATTGATTGCCACGTCATACATATGTGAATGACACTACCACTTCCGTTTAGGCCGCGTCATACATATATGTATGACGACATATTTTTGTTGTGAGGCCGTGTCATACGAATATGAATGATAGCCAATGCAATTCAGATGGGGATATGAATGTGTGGCCTCCAAGGAAGTCACAGGCATATTTGGCCAGAGCAAATATTGATAGATCGTGATGCAAGACAATAAAATACAAAAATCATATATGAAAAGGTTTATTCATCGTAAAAACAGTAAAACTAATATTACATAATAATGAAAAATAGTAGTTTACCTAACAAGTGCGGAAAGTGATACTATTCCGCATGTGTTAGGTTCACTATTTTTTCTACTAGCGTGCGGAAAAATAAATTACTCTTTTCCGCACTCATTTCACTGTGGAGAGTTTTTTCCGCACTAGTGCGGAAAAATGACTCTTTCAACACTGAAATGGGTGCGGAAAAGTGTTTTTTTTTCCGCACGCTAGTAGAAAAAAAACAATCATCATATTCGTCATACATATTTGAATGACGTGGCCCAGCGTGGTGAAATAACTCTTTAGGCTAACATGGGAGGCCACGTCATTCATATATGAATGACATCGAAAAACAAACAAAATGGATGAAAAAAAAATCAATAATGACTTTTAAGGGTCAAACTTGATTTTTGGAAGTGAAAATTCATGAATGGAACTAAAATGTACCTTTGGCCCCGTGGGATAAACTCCAGATATGGGCTTGGCAATCAATGTGTTAAAGTAGCTTCAAAAGTTACAGAAGCTGCCTGTTTCAAATAATCTTATGTAAATCTGCTGAGGCTTAGGAAGACAGAAATTTGCTAATTTCCTAAACTATAAAGATTTACTTCACGACAGTGTTAGTGTTCATCAGTAGAAAACAGGGTGGTCCAACCAATACAAACAATAACATAGTGAAAATTACGAAATTTAGGTTGTTCATTTCACGTTGATCATTTCAATGTTCGGTGAATTGATGATAATTTACGGTGGAGCCTCTAAGAACTTTTCTCTTGTGATTTATAACAGCGGAAGCGAAATAAAAAAATTAGAAAACAGCATGTAAGAAAAACATAATGTTTTCGATCACCAACACGAATGAATGGAATGATTAGAGGGAGTTCATGGTACGCCTGACAATGACATAAGCAAACTGTCAAAACAGTTAAACATGGCACAAAAATACAAAATACTTTATCAGAACTCCTTCATCCATAGAACGGCTAGGCTCTGGAATTCATTGCCTGATGAAGTATTCCCAACATATAATCTCCAGAAGTTCAGAAAAAAATTCCAATACCTACCTCCTATCATCCCTATCCTCCCTAGGAACGCACGATGTTCCTTGAGCATTATAGGGATTCTCTTTCGTGCTCTCCGAGCGATGAAAAAAAAAATGAAGCTATCATAGTCTATGGAAGCAATCAATCAGATCCGACATAACAAGAGAAATCTTATGACGAACTTCATGAAGGTTTAAAGCAATACAATCCAATTTTGGAAGAAGAAACGAGGGCAGTCTGAAAAATTGTTGGATTATCAAAGGAATCAAAATAAGGATGTCAATGGAGTAGTTGATTTCAATGTTTTAATTGAGTAGAACTTCAATATCGTCCCACATATATCAAACGATATTGATATTAATTTTCTTCAGGGATATTTAATTATGGATCATCTTAATCTGGGCATCCCTGTATTCGAAGAAGTTAACTTAACCTTTTCACAAAATTCGGAACGCCGAATAGAGGCATTCAACGATATAAACTTGGCACCCACCTGGTTGTTCTCAGATTATTTAAGCGTTTCTTAATACAGGCCATTATTTAAGATCACAGATTGCTAATTAAGAGCTCGGAGTGTGTATCATGGTTGTATGCTACGGGCTGATACGACAAATTATGATTGTTAGGTAGAAAATATCATCAGCGTTTTGAGTTTCCTCATTTACAGTAGGTATACCTGACAATGCTTTCTTATTCTCGAGAGCAGAACACTAATTGGTTAACACGAATTGGAGGAGCCATTTTGGGAATGTATGGATTAGTGAATTCTGGCCGGTTGATTAAACGAAAACCAAAGTATTGTATCGTCTTCCATATGATACTCCAACGAATCAACTGTATAAGGAAACAAACACATTTTCTTTGGAAGAGCACTAGATAATATAACTTGTTTCATCTTGAAGCTGCAAATTCTAAACTTGGACAAAAAAAGTTTACACATGAGGCGATTTCGAAATTCAATAATTTACCAGATGATATCAAAAACAGCCCAAATATTATGCAACTCAAAAATAAAGTTAAGAAATATATTTTTCCCCTTCTTGTTCACTATAATATGACTGTATCTCAATGATATGTTAGTTTTGTTCACTATTTGTAATTTCAATTATACAACAGTCGATAATACTTCATGAATGATCTTATACCAGGAATTACTGTCTGATCATTCATGTCATTCCTACTAGAAAATTAATTATACTTTATATATTATTTGTATGAAATGTATCAATGAAGAAGAGAATGTAATGCAATAACTGGAATGAATAAATAAATAAATAAATAAATAAAATTCTCCCATTCTAAGCAACCCAAAAATATGTTTCATCTTCAGTTGGAATTTTATTAATGGTCAAGAGATTATAAATATGAAGATGCAATTCCGAGACCGTGTAATACTATCATTCCTCAAGAATAAGTATAACTTGAAGGAGTATTTCAATGGAGGTGTCTTTTTCATGTAGATCACTAAGTATGGCACTTCTTTCGAGATATAGTTTTATCATCATTCTTGAGGAAGGATAATATTGTGCATGAGAATCTGCTACCTGCCATGAAAAGTACAATCACATGTAAATTCGAAGGAGAACTTGTGACAATTAGGTTGGTATCAGATTGCTCGATACCAAATCTCCATTCAATGCGATGTAGCAGAAAGCACCGTCATCAGGCATCGGCTGGTTTATGAGGAATTCGTTTGCTTCTGAGCCAGTCGGGTCGATGATCGGTTTGTTCTCAGCAGCATTTTTAGCAGCTTCAGCCAGTGGCGTCAAAGTTTTCCAGCTCGGTAGTTCTGCGAAAGGACCGACTGAACGCAAGTCTTGAAGGTACCTGGAAAATTACAGTACAAGATAAAAAACTCTCACACGTCGAAGATTTTTCAAGTGTAGATTTACCCTAAAAGTGCCATCATGTAATCGTTTCTGATAGCTTTCATACTTGAGCAAGACTCCCTTCCTTGGATAGAACAGAGCATCTGAAGCCATGCAGCTATTCTTGTTCGATCATTTCCAATCCTTATCAAGAAGGCGTACGGTCTCGCTATGTATAGGAACAGTTGGAATTCTTGATCCAATATCTGTAATATCATTAATAATTTTTTCTTCTCACATAACTAAAATGGCATTTTGCGTAGGTACGGATATGTACCACTCTAAATGATCAATCATTAATCACGGATTGATAATCTATGATTTATTCAAAAAATTAAACACGTTACCATGGCAACACAATTTCTTAAACACATTACCACGGCAACAGAGTTTTTCAAACACACCTTGTGTCGTTCGATTCCTGTCCGGCCTGTCAATTGTAGGAACTGTCAACCGTCATTTTCGACTTTTGTTGCAATCATATTTATTCAACCAATTTATGTTTGCATCAGAATTTCTCATTGAAAACGTATGCAAGTAAGTACTTCACAAACGATGAGATTTCCACAAAATTCTCAATAACACGACATGTTTTGATAACACAGTAGCTTCATCAGTTGATATACTGAAGGAAACCATCAGATGAACTGTTCGAAAAGAAATACTGAGGTTAAGAGGATCCCGAATATGAGTTTTATGCAATATCAACTCAAGAAAGCACATTTGAGTAATATAAATGAAGTGTGGAAATGAAGCAATATACAACTTCAATAATTATCTGTTCGATAGTGTTTCCTGCTTTGATTGAGTTTTGAATTATCAATAATTCCTTCTTGTTGTATTATTTTATTTCTAGGACGTACCAATACGAGAAGAACATGGAATATCGTCTTCAACTTGTTGGTCATGATCAAGAAGATGAAAATGTCGAAATATTGGATAATCTGCTTGTGCGTGGTGATGTAAAAATTAGTGAATTGTTAGGTATTAATTTTATGGAAATTCATCAATACTAGATAGGTACTAGGCAATAAATATATAGTGCAGGTAGGAATGAAATGTTCAATTATAGAATTGAAAAAAATGAAAATAATATGTAAGTATAGGTTGACGATATCTAGTTGTCATCATCTACATGAATGATGGTGGTTCCTTCTACGAGGAGCTAATCTCTATGCTCCTACTGATATATCAACATCTTCTATGATCTGTTGAACCTGTTTGCCAATCATCCTCAGTTCTTGTACGCGTGGAAAATGAAGGGTGTCCTACCTACTTCAGTTGATCTTCCTTTTTTACTGTGAGATATTTGCCCAACAATTATGGAATCAATACTATTCTGAAGAGGAAGTTAATGACTTTCAGGTTCTCTGCTAGCCAAAATTTTACATCAGAAGTAATTCTGTAAATAAGAATTTCTTTTGGGCTCCAGACCTACCTATCTTGGGTATGATATTCCTCATGCCTAGATCAATATTTCCAAATACCTACGGTCATGTACTCTCTGCAAGATCTGACAGTGGTCGATCTCCAAAGTAAATTCTGAATTTCACGAAAAACAGCACTAAAAAACTGAGGAAAGGATTTCGAAACACATTATTCCCATATAAACCCATGCAATCGATTCTAATGTTACCCTCCAAGCAGAAAAGACACGCCCACTTGGTCACGTACCGTAGATGCCTAATACACGCCAGCCTTCTCATTGAGCCCATACCCACTCAGCTATACTACTATCACCTCATACCTCGTCCAACCGATGGTCGGCCTTGCAATCCGCTTCCTCCGCATGAACGCTTCATATTGAGCCCGTACCCTCTCAGCTATACTACTAACACCTCATACCTTGTCCAACCGATGGTCGGCCTTGCACTCCGCTTCCTCCGCATGAACGCAGCACTCCAGCATGCGGAAGTCCCCTGGCAGCCCTTGCAGCGTGTCCTGCCACATTTTGTCCACCTCCCATTCTGCTGCTTGGACCGTGGGAGGGACAAGGGCCTCGCAGTCGGGTAGCGCCCCATCGGGAGGGAAACCGCGGAAGACGCCGATGGCCTGGTCGAGAAGCAGTGAGGTGGACAGGTAGGCCAGATATCTGAAGCAAGAGAACAGGGAATATACAGGGAGGTTTATGAAAAACAGCACCAGATCACAAGAACTCTGCATCTTGAAAAAATATGTGTTCTTCGTCTAATATACTTTTATTCCTCTTCTCCAAATCTTTTTCAATAAAAATTGTCACTGACAAGCTGGTGAACTTTTCTTTAAGGCTCTCTGGTAGGAAAATTCTTTGAAGGCAGTAACATTTTGGGGCAAATCATCTGATTCGTCCTCACTACACGTATATTGAAATAATATTCATATTTTTATTTCATAGAAACGAGTAGAGAGAATCCCAGAAAATCTAGGATAATGAAAGTACAACCTCCTCGATCAAGCTACAGACAATAGGTACTCGATATTTGGAATTTTTTCATTGCAAGAACCATATGACAGTCGACAGTCTGCAAAATCATTCACAGGATGAATTTCTCGATGAAAACACTCGATAGCGAAATGTAGAAACTCTTACCCGTTCTAAATTGTCTCCAATGAAGAAAAAGTTAGATGCTAGGTGATCAAATCAACGAATTCTACATTTCTCTAATAACTCACCGATTTCGTTTCTCTCTCAATTTCGAGCTATGATACTCCGGCCTGAACAATTTCCTGATCCATGGTATTATATAATTCCGATCATCTTCCTTTGTCAGAGTAGGACCAAGTATTCTCAAAACCGAGCTGTAGTATAAAAATTCTGTGTTGAGTGGATCTTGGGCAGCTCTGAAAAAAATTACTCATGCAGATATTACTGTGTAAAGCTTGATACTTACATGAAAATACCTACCAAAATGGCCAATGAATATAATCTTTAGAAATCTGATAAATCGCTAACATTTTAAAGTTTACATGGGATTGATGAAATTTCATCTACACAGGATTTTTTTTATGTTCTGGTTCCCACGAAAAGGAATATCCTGTAATGTTGAGAGAACATCGTGAGAACCAAGGGAAATGAAGTAGGAATTGGTGTTCTCCTCAAATTCCTGGAGGTTATATGCCTATAGGCGAACACCTCCCTTGAAAATGTGTTCCAGATCCTCGCTGTTCGTTGGATGAACGAGTCTTTGGAAAGAGATGTTCTACAGGTCTCCAAAGTGACCACGAAGGGGTGCGAAGCCTCAACTCGACGGGTAATCTAGCGGGGACTGCCAAGGGAGGAACAATTGTTGATATTCCATCGTCCATGAAAATATCTATAGAATAGAGCCAGATCGCCAACTTTTTTACAGTGTTCCAGAGAAGTGAGTGAGTTTGTGAACGAGGCATCACCCACGAGACGAATTGCCCTTTTTTGGACAGAATCCAAAAGTTTCAGGGTATTTTTGGGTGCTGCACTCCAAATATGCGAATAGTATTCCAGGACAGGTCGAATCTGTGCCTTATAGATCATAAGCAGGTGACTGGAAGTGAAATAGCCCCTGGCTCGAAACAGAAAACCAAGTTTTTGGGATGCACTTTCAGCAATTGATCCCACGTGATTTTTCCAAGCAAGGTTATTGCTGATACCAAGCATCGAAATGGATGTCTCCAAAGATATACTTATTAAGAAAAAGTCGAAAATATTCGATTCTATTGTTTGAAGTTCATCATGTCTCCTGAAGTAAGTAGGTAGCCAATACTTAGATTTTCACCACCCTATGTATGTACCTTTGTGCTGCAGTCACCGGTGGTACTATTTGTGGACCTCCGGGTGTAGCTGGTGTTCTGAAAAAAAAAATACATGATCTAGATGAGATTATCAAACACTAAGGCGATTCCGAATATCCAGAATTGCTGTACAATCTACTATACTCACGCATTTGCTGCAGCATCGGCTGGAGCACCTTCAGCTTCACCAGGTGGGGCAGCAGGGGCCTCTTCAGCCGCAGGGGCTTCTGCAGCTGCAGCTTCTGCAAAACAAAATTTCAGTTGGAGCTAGACTAGTTCTGAATATTTTTCCACATGGTCATTTATTTATATAATATATATACATATACATATATATTTTATTATTTTTTTATATATACTGCGAAAACATATTTACCGTCTGCAACAGGAGCTTGTTCTTCGTCAGCCATTGTGTTTTTGCTCTGGGAATTTTGAATAGATTTTCGAAAGACGTATAATGAAGTGATTTGTCACAATATCCTTGTCACAATAGCGTTTGTCAGAAAATACTGAGTGAAGCAACTTTCATGGAAATCAAGTCGTATCGATTTTTCCGTCGTATTTTTCTTTCACTAAACACTTGTCGATAAATCTCTCTTTACATAATATCCAATACACGAAAAAAGTCATCAATTTGGTTTGTTATATCGATGATCCGTCTTTTGATAGGTACCTCGTTGAAAATTAAGAAGAAAAATGTTATTCTCATCGTTGTTAAGATGGAGTTTTTCAGGATTCCTGGAAAGAACGATCGGTTGTGGTTGTGATCTGTCAAAACTATACCAATATATTATTATATATTTTTATTCTATTATATATTCTGCTTGTTAAAATATCAATTGAGAATCAATATTCCTACAAAGGCATATTATGACGAAAATTTAAATCTTTCTCATCTCTTATCCATAGGTCTTATAATTCGACCCCAAGGACCAAACGAGAAGTTTGTTGTGAAAAACGATTCAAAATACCTGAATAAAAAACGCAATATGTAGCGATGGATCTTCCGGAGTTTTTCAAAATTTTTATATCATTTTGAAATTTTTGGTTGAAAATGAATATAATATAGCCACTATATATATCTGAATATATCTTTGGAAGAGGGTGAGAGGTTGTATAATAATATGGTGTAGTATTATTCAAGGCTTGTCACATCATAATATCATTATGTGTGGAGTCAGGAGTGGATATAGAACAAACAAATGTTATAAAATGTCTGTGTTCACAATCATCTGCTCTTGGGCCGCCTCTACATGAGATTCAAATAATTCCAAAGGAAAATGATGAGCTGTGGCAATGTGAATGTCCCTGTGAAGCAGGCATGTCACGGTTTTGTAAACACATTTTATAGAGACTTATATTGACAGTTAGGAAGGTGCACTTTTGATCTATCACACACAGGTAAAAAATAAATGAAATTTCAGGAATGAAGACTTGGAATATGTGAAGCTGCATAAACATGTGCAGAAGTGGTGAAAAGAAAGAAAAGAGAGTAGATCAGTCAAAGATCTATTATACAGCAAAACCATTTCAATAGTTCTGCTATCCACTTATTAAAAGAAGGAAAGTGACCCCCTAAGGAACAGTACCTACCTACATGCAGGGTCAAGGATGGAAATCAATGGAAAAATCATTCTCCTTTTATATAATTCAAAGTAATTTCACACATGTACTCAATGTAAACAACTATTGCATGGTACTCAGGAACACTGGTGAGTTCCTTAAATTTCAACATACCATCAGGAAAACTGTATACTTATATTAATTTCGAATTATTTCAGGCTATACTTTCTACTTCATTTTTACATGTAGCAAGGAGTCTTGGGAAAAAAGAAATCAACTTCTTCTTTCCAAAGGATTTTACAAATACATTTGTTCAGCATGGAGTTGAATATGAATTCAAAGCTGAGGTCCTTACATAGAGGTTTGTTAAATAATGTTTATAACATTCACCTTGAATTATTTTCTCAAATTTTCATGGTTCAGAACATTTTGTGGAATACCATTTCCTGATAGATGGTATGAAAAATGTGAAGTTGAAAGAGAGACACATTCATTATGGATAAATTCAGTTGGGAATAATGGCCCTAAAATATCCCTAATGAACTTGAAAGAAACCATTTTTCTTGTATAATTCCCTTTTTTCCAAAACTTACACATACATCATACATATACATATCTTAAAGATATTTCCATTATGTTGTACTTTTATTGCTTTAACAAAATGGAATAAATTGTGATGACTTCTTCATTGATTCATGTTCTTATTATTTCGTTTTAAAACAATAATATTTTCCAAATTGATACTGAAAAAAAAACCATTAGAATCATTCAATTTATCCAGTAGGATATCCTCCTTAGTTAATTGTTTCTTCTTTCTCAGAAATGATGGCCTTATCAATTTCAAGAATTTTTCTCCACATCCCTTGTCAGCATGCCCTTATCCACCATGATTCCATCATTAGGTTCAGACT